CCCTTAAGATGGTTTCCTTGGTTCTAAGATTTGCGAATTTTTCTGTTACATGCCGGAGTGTTGGCCTGTTTTCCTTGACCGTGGGAGGGGTCTTCTCTGCCTCTAGGACACGAATGTTTGTTTCATTCCCCAGATTAGGGAAGTTCTCGGCTACGATTTGCTCAAATATATTTTCTAATCGTCTCTCTCTCTCCACCTCCTCAGGAATTCCAGTCATTCTACATTGGAACATTTCATGGTGTCACTTATTTCTCTGATTCTATTTTCATGGATTCTGAGTTGTTTTTCCCCGGAGTCCTCTTTTCCCTTTTTATCTATTATATTGTCTTCCAGGTCGCTTATTCGTTCTTCTGCCTCACTTACCCTAGCTGTTAGATTATCTAGATTAAATTGGATCTCATTGATAGCATTTTTAAGTTCTGCTAATTCAGCTTTCATTTCTGCCCTTAGAGACTCTATGTTGCCATTAATTGATTTCTCCATTCTACGTATTGTCTTCACAGTTGCTAGCCTGAATTCCATCTCTGACATCTTGGTTACATCTGAATCCATTTGTTAATCTGTGGCATAAGTCATAGCCTCTGAGTCTTTCCTATTTTGGGGGTTCCTCTTCCTATAGTTATTCTGTTAAGAGTTTGTGAGGGAATGTATAGAGTCAAAATTATTGACCACAACCCAAGCAAGATGCACCAGTTTTCTAGGTACGTTAGGGTTGCTGGCCTCTTATTTTCCCAGGCTGTCTTCTGGGGGAGGAACCTGCCACCTGTTACTTAGGCAACTCTGTTTGGGCAGAGTTGCCCTGCCCCCTGTGGTGGGGGATGGGCTCAGTGGAAACCGGTTTTTTGGGGCTTTTGTTCTCTGGTTACTTTCCCTGGTGGCTTTCTGCATCTCTTCTGAGAGAGCCTCAGAGCAGAGAGATTGCAGTCTGTTCTTCAGTGAGCTCTCCAGGCCACACTATCTCCGTTTCTGTCTGTGCTGCTATAAACTGCAGTGTCCTGGGCTGTGCGCCTCTCAGCAGCGCTCCCAGTCCTCCCCTTCAGGTCAGGGCACCTCTTTGCCCTTTGTGTTTCTAAAACCGCCAGCTGCCCCCAGTTCACACGCACAGCCCCGCCACTCCGGGTTTCCATCTGAGGGGCTGCCCTACAGTCCTTTCCCCACCGCTACCAGTCTGCGAGTCTATGTCCGGTGCCCAGCGTGGGAGGCTGTCGCTCACTGGCGATGTAGGATCTCCATGGCCAGGCTCCCTCCTGCTGCCATTTATCCTTCGATATCTGCCTAGAGTCACGGCTCCCTGCTTTGTAGGTCGAAACCAACTGCCCGCAGTATTGTTTGTAGAGATCCAGATCTATCTTCTTACATCTCAGGCCAATTTCATGGGTGTTCAGAGTGGTCTGGTAGATATCCAGCTCAATTCTGGGGACCGGTTGCAATAGGTTCCCCTACTCCTCTGCCATCTTCCCCCCCTCCCTATACAGAGTTTTATTCAGGGTCACTTACTGACAGGGTATTGGGCCAGCAGGTGGTTGGAGGATCCAGGGTACTACACCCCCATTCTCCACCCAGCTTGGACCTCAACCCACAGCTTTTGTAGTGCAAGGGGTATGGTGGTGTGGTCACAGGGTAATCTAAAGTGATGCCATCTGTGTACTAGAGGATCTGTACTTGTTATCTAAAGTGGTGCCACCTGTATGCCAGAGCAGGCTGTCTACTAGTTATCTAAAGTGGCACCATCTCTGCACCAGAGGGGAGAACAAGATGCAGGGCCAAAGATGAAGCCAGTGTTGTCAGCAATCCTATACTCACATATACACTGCTAAAACTAATCATTGGAAGTATTTTAAAAATGAATGTAGGATGCTATTTACAGCATTCTTTTCATTTCTGCAGTTTGCTTTGATGGATTACGGTGTATATGGGTTTTTAATTATATTTATCTATTTATTAAAGATTTATTTATTTGACTGAGAGAGGGAACACAAGCAGGGGGAGTGGGAGGGGGAGAAGCAGGTTTCCCACTGAGCAGGGAGCCTGATGTAGGGCTCAATCACAGGATCCTGGGATCATGACCCAAGCTGAAGGCAGACACTTAACAACTGAGCCACCCAGGCGCCCCCCGGTATATATGGGTTTTTTAATCCATTTTTTAAAAATGAGATATTATAGGGGTGCCTGGCTGGCTCAGTCAGTGGAGCCTGTGACTCTTGATCTCAGGGTTGTGAGTTTCAGCTCCACATTCGGTGTAGAGATTACTTAAAAAGAAAATCTAGAAGTAGATAGAGATATTACACATATACTGTGAATTTTACCCATTTAAAACATACAGTCCAGTGTGTTTCAGTATATTCACCAAGTTGTATCTTCATCACAACTAATTCAAGAACATTTTTATAACTCTAAAAAGAAACTCCATCAGCAGTCACTGTCTTGTCTTAGGTGACCACTAACCTTAATTCTCTTTCCATGGATTTGTCTTTTCTGGATGTTTAATGTAAATGGAATCATACAGTGTGTGGCCTTTTATGTGTGTTGTCTTTTATGTAGCATGTTTTCAAGGCCCATTCCTGTTGTAATATATCAGTCTTCATTCCTTTTTATTGCTGAATAATCTTCCATTGTATGAATATACCACATTTTGATTATCCATTCATCAGGTGATGAACATTTGGATTGTGTTTACTTTTTTGGATACTGCTGTGAACATTCATATACAAGTTTTTGTTTGGACACTTGTTTTTATAGGTAGTGATGATTGGAATTGCTAGTTTATATGGTAGCTCTACGTTTAACTACTAGACTATTTCCCAAAGTGGTTGCACCATTTTACTTTCCAGTGTATGAGGGTTCCAGTTTCTCCACAATCTTGCCATTATTATTATCTTTTTTATTTTAGCCATCCTTGTGGCTGTGAAGTATCTCATTATGGTTTTGATTTGCCCTTCCATAATGACAAATTATGTTGAACTTGTTTTTATGTGCTTATTGGCCATTTGCATATCTTCTTCGCAGAAATGTCTATTCAGATCCTATGGCCATTTTTTAACTGGTTTATTTTTCTGTTTGTTGCATTGTAAGAGTTCTTTATATGTTCTGGATATAATTCCCTTATTAGATATGTGATTTGCAAATATTTTTTCCTATTTTATGGATTTTCTTTTCACTTTCTTTTTTTTTAAAAGATTTTTTTTTTAATTTATTTATTCATGAGAGACAGAGAGAGAGAGAGGCAGAGGGAGAAGCAGGCTTGCCGCTGAGCAGGGAGCCCGATGCGGGACTCGATCCCAGGACCCTGGGATCATGACCTGAGCCGAAGGCAGACGCTTAACCATCTGAGCCACCCAGGCGCCCTTCTTTTCACTTTCTTGATGGTATCCTATGAACAAAAGTTTTTAATTTTGATGAAGTCCAATTTATTTTTTCTTTGGTTGCTTGTACTTTTGGTGTCATATTACAAAACCATTTCATAATCCAAGATCACCAAGATTAATGCTTATTTTTTCTTTTAAGGGATATAGTTTTAACTCATACTTTTTTAGGTCTTTGATCCATACTGAGTTAATTTTTTAATATAATGTGAGGTAGGGATACAACTTTATTGTTTTGCATGTAGACATCCAGTTGTCCTGACACCAGTTGTTGAAATACTATTCTTTCCCCCATTGAATGATCTTAGTGCACTTGTCCAAAATCGATTGCTTGTAAATATAAGGGTTTATTTCTGGACTGTTCTGTTCCATTGATCTATATTTCTATCCTATGCCAATACCATGATGTTTTAATCACTCTAGCGTTGTAGTAAGTTTCAAAATCAGGAAGTGTGAGTCCTCCAATTTTTGAAGATTATTTTGGCTCTTTTGGGACCCTTGCATTTCCATATGAGTTTTAGGATCAACTCTTCAATTTATTTATTTTTTTTAAGATTTTATTTATTTGACACAGAGAGAGCACAAGCAGGGGGAGTGGCAGGCAGAGGGAGAGGGAGAAGCAGGCTCCCTGCTGAGCAGGGAGCCCAATGCAGGGCTCAATCTCAGGACCCTGGGATCCTGACCTGAGCCAAAGGCAGACGCTTAACTGACTGAGCCACCCAGGCGCCCTTCAACTTTTCAATTAAAAAAAAAAAAAGACAGCTGGGATTTTGATAGAGATTTCATTAAATCTGTGAACCAGTTTGAGAAATGTTGCTAACTTAACACTCTTAAATCTTCAAATTCGTGAACATGAGATGTGTTTTAATTTGTTTTCTTTAATTTCTCTCAACAGAGTTTTTTGTATGGGTTTTCAATATATGTCTTGTATTTCTTTACATTTATTCCTAAATATTTTATTCTTTTTGATGCTGTTGTAATTGAGATTTTTAAAAAAGATTAAGGGGGGGGCAGAGGGAGAGGGAGAGAGAGAATCTCCAAGCAGACAACCTGTTGCTCATGGAACCTGACACAGAGCTTGATCCCAGGACCCCAAGCTCATGACATGAGCCGAAATCAAGAGTCGGTTGTTCAACTGACTGAGCCATTGAAGCACCCCATAAGTGAAATTGTTTTAATTTCATTTTCAGGTTGTTCATTGCTAATGAAGAGAAATACAATTTATTTTTATATAAATATATTGCATATTTGTATATTGTATCACTATACTCGTTCATTACTTCTAATGGTTTTTTTATGGATTTCTTAGAATTTTCTATATACAGGATCAAGTCATCTGTGAGTAGAAGCTGTTTACTTCTTCCTTTGCAATCAGGATGTTTTTTATTTATTTTTCTGGCCTAATAGCCTTGGCTAGAACTTCTAAAACAATGTAGCATAGAAATTGCTGTGTTGCATTTTTATGAAATGGTGATGGGGTACAAACTCCTTTTATACCCATTAATATTGAAGGATGGTGGCTTCATGAAATTAGTACCATGTGTGTAGGACACTAATTGGCGCTGTTATGATCGTATAACTCTTTTTTTTTAGTTGAGGAACATTTTAACGGTGTCCTTGTTTTTTTTTTTCTTTTAGGTTTTCTCAAATAATGATGAAGGCCTTATTAACAAAAAGTTACCCAAAGAACTGCTCTTAAGGTAAATGTAGATAAACTTTAATGAACTCAGATCTGATTCAGTCATCAAGTTCCAAGACAATCTTCTCTCACTATGAGTCCATAGCATAGAAAAACAGACAGAATTAGCCTAACTGACTTTTTGTTTTTGTTTTATAGAATGCTGTTCAGCTTGTTGTTAAATTTTACTTGGTCTAATCCAGAATGTACTAAGTATGTACATAGCATTGGTCTGGATTCTTTTTGTAATGTGGTAAGTATTGTAATAATCTTCAGTAGGTGCCATTGTTTTGGTATCAGTAGATAATTCTCAATGTAGTCAATAACATGAGAGATTATTGTTAAGGTTGTGAACTCCTGAAGTCCCAGACATACATTTAGATGTTTTCTGATAAACAAGTTTTAAAATAAGTATATTTATATGTTCTTACTGAGCACTTAAAATGCTCAGTCCAAATATTGATATATTTTTATCCATCTTATGAGAATTATGTGCTAAGTGACAGTGAGTACTATAAAACATAGTTTTTGTCCTGTATTTCTGGCATCACTGAATATACAGTAAATGGTGTTTTGCTTGTCATTTTACAAATAAAGCTATCAACCAACGTTTGTTGATCACGAGGCACTGCAGTTTCCTTTAGTACTCTGCAATCATCGAAGAAATCTTATTTTAGTTTTGGGTATTCTATTTTAATTGTTTACAAGTAATTAGTACGTGTATAGATGGTAATCTTTGAGTGGCATTTCCCAAAGTCTTCTCATATCACTGATGTTCCACAAAACAAAACGAGTTTTGTGATCAAATAAGTATGGGAAGCACTGGGATAAGAAAACCAATTTCTTTACTGCATGACTTCTCAGGGCCTTAATAGGCTAATAACACATGATAATACTCCCAGATTGATAGTTGTGGCATTTCAAACTTACCATGGAACTCTTTTAATATTCCATATTAATTCCATATTCTGTGGAAAAAATTTCGGGAAATGCTGACATAGAGTCAGTGATTGACCAGATGACTCCATTCCCTTAGCTTCTTTGTGGTAGTGATCGCATTTGAGGGGCTTCAGAGGGTGGTCCATTAGTCATCAGGTGTTGTTTGATATTGTTGTCATAAAGTCATTTTACTCAGTTAATAAAAAAAAATTATGACAGGATCATATGAAAAATACAGCAGTAATATTTTATTTCAATAAAACAAATACTCGTTTGGATAAGAGAGAATATTCTTTGGCATTTTAGACCCTTATAAAGTTAAGAAAGTAGTAACAAGAAGGGAATGATATGTTTTTCATATAAACCTGGGAGGTCTTGATCAAGCACAGCGAGCTGTTAGAACCAGCGTGGCTGGGTTAGGATAGGCAGGCTGTTAACTGCACAAATGGAGGGGATGCCATCCACAACAGATGACAAACTTCATGGTGTCCCCTGGAATTGTGCAGTGTTTCATTCTTGGTCTGAACTCTTTCTAGCATAGACATCAAGCTGTGATATGAACATGTCCTTCTTTCTCTGGAGAATCTACCAGCTTCAGGCCAACCCTTTATTAGTCATTCAGCACTGGGGTGTGATTAATCTCCACTCTTCCCATGAGCACTGCTGCTATCTGTGACTCAAAGCCGCTACCTTAAGATTTTCCCCTTTGATAGGGTTAGCTTTGACACTGTTCTCAGCCTTGGAATAGTTTCTGTATGCTGACAAAGGGGGGGTTATATCACTTTCTGTGCTAATGTGATCTGAACTGCTATTTTCAAAGTTTTAGTTCTTTTAAAGATCCATGTTGGACCCAGCTGTTATGAATGCTGCAGTTACAGGTTTTGAATCATGCTACAAAGCTCATAGATCAATTTTCAAAAAGAAATGAGACCAAATGTTCATAACATGTCTATTCATAGATTTGTATTCCCACTTCTTTTATTTTGGAGTCTGTGAGGGGAATTTAAATTTTAAAGTACTGCCTTTACAGGTCTTCTCTGACTCGTGAGTCTCAAAATTAACTCTAGCCAACCATGGTATTTTCATGTTTGTTGGCCTTTAAATCATTTCTGCCATTTTACTCTCAGACTTTATATTCTCAGTAATAGTAGCTCTTCCCTTTCCTTTTGCTCCTTTGTGAGCAAAATTTTGAAGAAGGAGTTGAGCCAAGTTACCCAAGTAGCCATCTTCATCATCCCTCATGGAGATAAAGTCTTGATTATTTTGCTCATTTAAATGATGTCTTCATACTTTCAGTCTGTCCTAGGCTTACATTTTACTTCATATTGTAGACTTCTTTGTGACAGTGCAGACTTCCTATTCTTGTTAAATTCCTATTCACCCTCCATTTTACTTCATCAGTAGAGGTGAATTCTTTGACTTTATGATAATCTTACTTACTTGCAGCCAGGACATCTTGTATCTGCTGTTTTGTTTTTTTTTAAGATTTTTTTTATTACTTGTCAGAGAGCACACAAGCAAGGGGAGCGGCAGGCAGAGGGAGAAGCAGACTCCCCACCGAGCAAGGAGCCTGATATGGGACTCGATCCCAGAACCCTGGGATCATGACCCGAGCCGAAGGCAGACACTTAATTGACTGAGCCACCCAGGCGTCCCATGTCTGCTGTTTTTTACTGCATCTGTTACCACCCTCTTAAATTCTCTACTAGTAGCTTCCATTGCTGATCACATCGGGCAAAGTCTCAGCTTTGGCTTCCGCTTTGGAGCCATTAACAAGCACGACCTAGAATTATGTTTCTTTTCATCTTTTTATATCACTATGAATCAACTCAGAAAAATCTGTGAGGTGGTTTTTCATCTGATCATCTTATTGCTAGTTTTAAGACTACTCAGTATTGTTCATGGATTCCATCACCCCATCTTTACTTTGTTAATAAGTTTTTACAATTTTGCTTTTTCTACCCAGCTTTCATTCATAAATTGAGGGTACTCCGGTTCTCCCTCTCTACCTTTTATGTTCACACAATTCAACAGCTTGTAATTTTACCCTTCCTGGGGAGTCAGTTATATAATGCTTATAACATTATAACAGTGGGAATCTTTAATTTGTTGAAATCTATATATCTATTAGTGAGTTGGGTTGTCCTTATATTTTGTCTTCATTGTTATTCTCTGTATTACTTTTAGAGCCAGCGTTGGTTGAGATTTCAGCTCTCCCCATTTACTATTTGTGTGACCTTAAAGTGACTTAACACTCTCTGGGCCATAATTTCCTATATCTATAAAATGGAGATAGTAATAGTTCTTACTGAATGGGGTTGTTGCTAGCTCTTAGAGGGCCTGGCATTTAATGAATGCTAAATAAATGTTAGCTTTTAATGTTAATTAATATCAATTTTAGATGCCTGAATTACTTATTAAATGCTATGTGACGATGTAGTCAGTTTTAATGCAAACAACTGATAAAAGCAAGCAGTCCTGATATGGATCTCAGCATATGCTACTGCTAATAATCTCAGTAAAAAACCTGGTTAATAATTCAGTGTAACCCAGTGCTTCATTTCATCACTCTGGACAAATTCAGTCTCAATGGAAATTGCACACTACCAAATGATATTAAACTGACAACTACTAGGGCTTAGGCAGGTTAGTGGTAGTAGTATGACAACTGGTGATTAGTTTGTATTATAAAAACTGTAGTTTCTTGCAAGGAACCATTCCTTTTTTTTTTTTTTAATTTTGTTTTATTATGTTAGTCACCATACATTACATCATAAGTTTTTTTTATTATGTTATGTTAATCACCATACATTACATCATTAGTTTTTGATGTAGTGTTCCATGATTCATTGTTTGCGTATAACACCCAGTGCTCCATGTAGAATGTGCCCTCTTTAATACCCATCGCCGGGCTAACCCATACCCCCACCCCCTTCTCCTCTAGAACCCTCTGTTTCTCAGAGTCCATAGTCTCTCATGGGAACCATTCCTCTTTTAAGAAAAGAAATCTTATGTGAATTGAGTATTGGCCTAAATTTCAGACTGTAAATTTTAATATTAACTTTTTGACCTTAAGTTTTTATTTCTATTATGGTTGCTTTCAGATGTTGATGAAATGAAAACACATGTGAACTACCACACACGAGATTGGGGGTGCTATGTGCAGTAAATATCTTAAAACATTCAGAGAAGATAAAGCTCTTGTTAGTAATAAATAATAATGAAAGAAATCTCTTTATTAGACACATTTTTAAAAACTGAAATCATTATTTAGGTAATTTTCTCTCCTTGTAAAATTTATGTGGACACATGACAGAATTAAGTACTAATAGTGTTTGTTGGCTTGATGAAGGGAAGGTTTGATTTACCCTTAACAGGAGAGTTGAGCCTAATAATTCTGGGCAAATGAAATCAACTACACAATTACATATATTTGGCAGTTTTACTAGTTTGGTAAGGAAAATTGTAAAATGACTAGTGCAAAAATTTTCAAATTTTCCTTTTCTTAAAATCATAAACCAATTCCATGAGTGAAAATAATTGTAGTTTTTGTTGCAGTCGTTAAGTTATAGCCCAGTGCTTATGTATAATTGTGGGACCTTGGGGAGCAGTGCAGTGAAGGGCTCATTCCTGGTTGGGGCAGCGCTGAGTGGGTGTTCTTGCCTGCTGGTTGGTTTCAGCATTCCATGGGTTTTTTTCAAGGACTGTTGCATCCACCTCCTGCTGTCTGTGATGCCTTATATATATTCCAAGGCAGCCTAACAGGTAAGATGCTCTTTTGGGGGGGGTACATACTGCAAATTCAAGTTTAAGCAGCTAAGCAGGTTTTTCTTTCTTGTTAAAGAATTTTTTTATTTGTTCATTTTTATTGCTTTTTACTTTGCATGAGGCAATACACGACTGAATTAATGTGTGTTGAAATCAGATGCAGAAGCGTAAAGGCCCTTCCTTTTCATTATCTCTGTATACTATTATGTACTGTTTTAGGTTTGGCATCTAAGTCCAAATCCTGGCAGAAGCAAATTTTCCTTTGTCTAGGTTGGGGTTATAGTTATACATTAAAAGTCTGTTCGTGTTTTTTTA